GCACGTCTCCAGTGATATACAGCTCTTTCGGCCTGGTGAGAGCCATATTATCGAAGTAACGTACCTCGGAAGAGCTAGGCCGGTCATGTGGCGAGAATGAAACACAATAGGCAACAAAGCTAATTACTGAACAGTAAACAAGTAATCTTAAAAGAATACAGGAAAAGCCATTAGTTCGATGTAGGACCCGTCTGAACGATCGTAAGGAACTGTGTAGATGAGATAAGCTTGAATTAGAGAAGAATGGGGAAATTACCAGCTGCAACATTTCCGAGAAATATGATGATGAAACCATGAGAAACGAAGTGCTAGAGACGAATGGATGGTCGATATTAATAGAATACATCTACGTTTGGATGTAGTGGCGTCAGCATCTTTACTTCTGTGCCCATGTTTCACATTAGTAGCCTCCATTTTCATAAAGTACACACACCACCATTTCTCGTGCGCTCTTCGTTTGGTCGTATCCTGAAACACCCTTGTTTCTTTGTTGGTGTACAAGAAGTCATTTATTATTGAGTTCAAAGGGATTGTTTCGGCCTACCAAAAGCTGCAAAAAGCCGCTTTACAATTTCACCCTCTTAAGCGGCCCTACTTCTATCGTCCAATTTTAGCTCGGTTTTCTACGACCCCTCACTTTTTCTTTCAAAAGGCATGCAAATCATCAGGTTACTTGAGAGTTATCGGCGCAGCGTGATATTTACTCTTTAGGTTTTGAAGTTTCCTTTTGAAATTTAAAATTTTTTGTTTTCAGGGAGCACTGATAAGTGAGCAAGATCTAACGGACAAAAGCATGGAATGTATATTTGACCAGCTAGGCGTGCAATCGGTAACATGTGCTCTCGAGCAGCTACGAATTGATGGTCTGATTACGAGACAGCGATTTCCAGTGGAAGATTCGAAATCATGGAAAACGCAAGCTACTTTATCGTTTAGGTAAATTGGTCCGCTTTTGTGCGCGTGGTCTGAGCTACTAAATGTTGACTTTGCATCAAAAAGCTATTCATGCAAATTGGTGTACCGCGATTGTACGGTAAAGTTCAAATCTTTTTGAATCAGTTTCTGTAAATTTGCTTTTCGAACACATTATGCAGACATATAGCACTTCTATCCTTGACTTATTTGGGAGTCTCGTTTCAATCACTGGAAAAAGCATGTCTTTTTACTGTTGTGCAGTTCATTTTGATGGTAAATTGATATTGGCATCGTACCAGAAAGTCGAAATCGCCATCATCTTGCTTCTTAGAAACTTCAGAAGAAGGAACTATTGAAAGCCTTTTTAAAGGGTGGTTCATACTGGTAGTATGCTAATTTTCAGGCTTTCCGATTGTCTCTGAGAATGAGTTGTAGAAAAGTTTTTGTTTTTAACTTGCAAAAGCCCGATCAAGTTATACTTTTCTAGAGCAATAAAAGTATTTGTGTGAAAGTTCTGAAATAGTACTTTCGTCACTAGCAGTTGCGGACTTGTAAATCAGTCGATGGTCCTTTTTCTGAATACGAATAAAAGTTGATTTAAGGAGGAGGGTCATGAACCTAAACCTACATTAACCCATTTTATGCCCTTCTCAACTCGCTACCAAGGCTTCTAGTGTTTCGGTCTTTCTATGGTTACTTGTAGGTAATCTTAATTACGAGTTTAATTCTCTTCCATGCGTTATCACCAGTTTACTATCGAAACGATAGTATAATCAGAGTTAGAAATTCCTTAATTTCAAGTTTTGGTAGCGTTTCCCAATATTTTCAGTTACTTTTCTGCGCAGTTGCTCTTTATTTTATTACTGCATTATTGAATTAAAATGTAAACTCTTTTAGTTTCCGACATTTTTTCAACCATCGTTACCATCCGGATCTTATGGAGAGACTTATCGATTCAATCGAAGACGTGGAATGTGGTAAGGGTTTTGCACCAACTGATGACACGCCAAGTTCTGTTGCTGCTGCTTCCAAATGCTTCTACACTGAGGTGACTTTAATTTGTGAAAAATGTTTTTTTTTTCCGACATTTTCAGAAATCCGATCTCAGATCAGGGTAGAGATGGACTTGAAAGTTTTGAAATCCGAACGGTCTTTTTCCCTTATTTGTATTCTCATATTTTGATTCTTTTATTTCGATTTTCATTTCATTCCTCTGTGATCCGCCTCTCTTTTTCTACCTTTATTACATACCATCTTTTTCTTTTTTGTTCCTTTTCCTGGTCCCCTGTTATTTTTTTCTGTTTATGGCTTTTCTCTTTTTTTTTTGTTTTTTTATTCTTATTTTAGTTCAGGCATGTTTTTTACTTGATCAGTTATTAAAATGCTTGATTATGCTGGATTATTAATTCCTTGATTGATCAGTTTTTAAGAATACTTGATTAAGAACAACAGAAATTCCATAGACCGGTTCTCCAGCTGTGCAGCTGGCAACTTTCCTAAATACTTCATTGTCCGATGATTTGCATGCTGAATTATGCTCATTTGATCACTTGAAAGGTTGACCAAAACAATGCTTCCTTAATAGAAGCACTTGGTCAAGGCTTTATCTGTTTTAGGATATCCTTGGCTTGTATTGAAAATCACGGAGTGTTACCGCTGGTTACCACCAGGGCGGTATACTTTATCTTCTAAAAGTCACATGTATTATGTTGCATTTATTAGTGAAATTGTTTATAAGTATTGTTGTTTGCAGCCCGAATTAACGATCGATGTTCAAGATAATGCAATGGAAAGCTTTGAGGCATTTCTGCAAGATTCGGTTAGTATCAGAATTTTTGTTTGCTTTTTATTCTTTTGTGCGTCTTGCATTTTTCCCGCAAAAAGAATACAGTGTAATGATTTTGTTACTTCCAATAGTTGCCGTTCTATCGCCCTAATTTTCTTCTAGTCATTGATGCATCTTGGCAGTATTTCTACACTTCTCGATATTGGACTTGCCAGGTCCACGTAAGGTGTTCAGCCAAATCTCTCCATTCCACTGGCATCTCCCTCAGTTTGCTTTTAGAATTGCTTGGGTACTAGATAATTGCCGGTATTATTTCGTGGCTTGTATAGCTGGAGTAGTTACAAGCAAATGAAAGTGAATAGCACTAAAGTAAAGGGCAGGCATGTGAGAATAGTAGTATATGACGGACAGGAAGAAATCTAAACCACAGATGTAAAATATATGTAGATTTACTAATTTGCGGAGTTAGCATTTTACAAGGGCCACATCATTCGGCAAAGAAACCAACAACTTCTAAACGGTTTTTTTTTGCAAAAAATCATTAAAATCTTTAACACGATCATTCACTTTAAGCATGCGAAACAAATTATTCTCTTTTTTCTCG